ACGAACTTCTTTGATGATGACACTGAGGTCTCGATCAGCACTCTGTTTGAGGAGAAACAGAAAAATGGTGAGACAGTCGAAAACTTTGTGAAAAGGTTTCGAAATAAAGCGATGAATTGCAGGGACCCGGTCAGCGAAGATTTCATCCTCGAGACCTGTCACAACAATCTCACCTTGGATATCCTTGAATCTATGGGAACGGCGCCATCAAAGACCTGGAAGGACCTGAAGGTGCGAGGGGAAAGAGCCGAACGATTCATCAAAAGGAAGAAGGCGGAAAGGGGCCAAATAGCAAATAACGCTCCGCAACCGAACTTCACCCCTAGGGGTAAAGGAAAAGCGCACGCAAATGCCGTGAACGCTAATCAAACGTTCGAGGTGCAGGCGCAACCGCAACAGCAGCAGCAAAAGGCGCCTCAACAACCAAGGTGGCAACAGCAGACCCCGAGGCCGAAAGCTTCGGAGCCAAAGTTCCCGAAAGTTTATTCATTCAGAGAGGACGAAGTTCCTGGTATCTTCAAATACCTCGTTGAGAATAACAAGATTAAACTGCCTCCAATTCAGGATCAGGAAGACGCCAAGAGGATTAATGATCCGAAGTACTGTGCATTCCACAGAGCGGTGCACCACCCCACCAAGGTATGCTATGCTCTTAAGGACAAGATCCAGGCTCTCATCGATGTCGGGGTCATCACAATGAAGCAGCCAAAGGAGAAGAAAGTGGGTGCGAATGCAGTGACGATTAGCTTCGGCTCTTTTCCCATAAACCAATTCCAGCTTGAGCCAGTTATAAAGGCAGCAGTAAAGACGGTGAACGATGATCCCCACAAACAACGCCAAAAAGGGCTTGTGCCACACACGGCCCCTAATGGCGAAATTCTTTGGGTTCATCCGGATTTGATCGGAGACGAACAGTGGACTGGGACCTCTTCCAAGAAGAAATCAAAAGGGAAAGGTAAATCTTGTTATGGGGTGTCCGCTATTCCAGGAAGAGACGATGAAGAAATTCCTGCCTTCCCACTTTCTGAAGATGAACAGGAAGCCCTTGCAACTCGGAGCGGTAACGAGTATCACTACAAGTACCCGGATGCTTCCGAGCAATTAGGTACCAACACTCCTCCTTCCAAGACATTGGCAGAACTAGGAATTGCAGCAATTCCCCCGACGCCTGTGACCACGAAAAGAGTCCAGCAGAAGGAGAAGGGAAAAGAGCCTTTACGCCAAGAAGCCCAAAACCCGAGGCAGTCTCGATTCAATCATCCGATTGGAAGAGACAAACCGGGAAATGTGAGCTCTTCACCCCATTTCGACATTATGGCGCAGTTGGCCAACATCCCGGCTAGAATAACCCTATACGAGCTATTGCGCCTGTCCAAGGATACAAGGAAAGCATTACAGGAGGCTTTGAGCGATTCTGAAGCTTTTCTCACTCAAATCAAGCCGTCTCCTGAAGGGCCAGAGCCGTCAGCTCAGCATTGCAACTTAGCGGCGCATCATTTTCCATGCATCTCTTTCACCAAAGAAGATATGCAGACGAAGAACTCAAAGCACGATCGGCCCTTGTACTTCACCGGGCACATTGGCTCCAGCATGGTCAACCGGATCCAAGTTGATCCGGGTTCCGCTGTTAGCATCATGCCATTCCGATTGATGCATCATCTCGGAATCCCGACGAGTAAATTAGCCTCCACTGGCACTACGATTTACGGATTCAACACCAGCGGGTCTAGACCCTTGGGGAAGATCCAATAAACGATGATTTAGAGTATTTGATGTGTCTGGATGACGTCACTAAAGAGCTTTGTGATAATCCTGACCTGCATATGCCTCTTCAGTCATTTTGTCTGACGAAAAAGCAGGTACAAGATCCATGCGGAGCGACGCTTGTCATCCCCGCGGGAAAATGGAGTGGAAAAGAAGTCGTCTACGGCAAAGGAAAAGAAGCTCCGACACCCGATCACTTCTTAGAAGAAGAAGAAGATGAAGATAAACCTGCTCCTCATCTATTCAGATATGACGCAAAAGCGCGCGATATGATGGAAAAGTATGGGTATGACTTCACACTCGGAGAAGGTCTTTTCTTTGGTCGAGGCCCACGAGTTCCACCTCGAATGGCCTATGTACCGAAGGGAAAACCCGATGATTATTATCGCTATAAAAGAGGTCTCGGCTACGTCTCCTCATCCGACGACGAATGTTGCTGGCAAATCATTGATCAGATCGCTAACAAGGCTAGAAACGGGTACTCTTCCGACTCTTCGGCTGGGGGTTCCGACGCTAGCCTTGGCGAGACGTTCAAAAGGTTGATGTCAAACATGGTCACGGTCGATCCTACCGCAATAGAGGAAGACGACCAGATGCCGACATGGGAAGATCCTTGGGTTCATCACCTAAACATGCAGTATGGTGATAGGTTCGAGCAAAGAGAGCCTCCTACCGAAGATCAAGTACTCCAGGTGAATATGGGAACTGAGGAAAATCCTAAACCGATATTCATTAGCGACAGTCTCCTACCCGATGAGAAAGAGGAGTTAATCTCTCTTATTAGGGAGTACATCGATGTGTTCGCCTGGAATTATGAAGACATGCCAGGGCTCGATCCAAACGTAGCTGTGCATCGCCTTAACATTAAGTCGGATGTCAAACCTGTCAAACAACAACAAAGACGGTTTCGTCCACAAATGATGGAGGTGATCGAAGCGGAGGTTAAAAAGCTTGTGGACTCGGGCTTCATTAGAGAGGAACAACATCCAGAATGGCTTGCCAACATCGTCCCGGTCCTTAAGAAAAACGGGAAGATCAGGGTCTGTATCGACTTTAGAGACCTCAATACTGCTTGCCCAAAGGATGATTTTCCCCTCCCCATCACGGATGTTATCATCGACAATACGTGTGGGTTCGAGAGGATGTCTTTCATGGATGGTTTCTCTGGTTATAACCAGATAAAGATGCATCCAGACGATGAAAAGCATACCGCATTCAGAATGCCTCTCGGCGTCTTCTGCTACACGGTTATGCCCTTCGGCTTAAAGAATGCAGGTACTACATATCAGCGAGCCATGTCAAAGATCTTTCAGGAGCATCTCCGAAAGACTGTTGAATGCTACGTAGATGATTTGGTCGTGAAAAGTTGTGATAAAAAGGATCACATTAAAGACTTGAAGACCATGTTCGACTTGATGCGAGCTCATCAATAGAAGATGAATCCTACCAAGTCTTTCCTCGGAATGTCGAGTGGCAAGTTCCTGGGATTCGTCGTCGCCACCAAAGGTATCCACATCGATCCTGATAAGGTAAAGGCGATCAATGAA